TCGGATTCGTAGTTCTAGGTGTTATTTTTGTGTTCTGATCGTGCGAGCAAGTTCGTATGATGTTATTACACTTGTTTGTATATTTGGTATGGAGCCCGAGGGGCTCGAGTGAGTTTCGGATAGGCCATGGATCACTTTTGGACTTTGGAGATAGCTGGTTTCAGCTGTTGCTGGTGTATGATAAACTGTTCTTTGGGATCACGAAGGAACTCTCATGATCGCGAAAGGGAAATTGGGACAGGGGAGGATGTTCTTCTGTGCGAACACAGAGAACCGGTCGCGAATGCGAAGCAGCGGAGGGATTACCCATCGCGAACGCGATCGTTCGCACGCTAACACGATGGGTTAATGGGGATTCTGGGGGAGGCAGTTGTTACTCTATGCAAACACGAGCCCATGATCGCTAATGCGAAGGCCAGGTGGGTGAGGCCATTGCGAACGCAAAGGGTTTTATGTGAACACGAAGGCCCGTTAGGCTGCAAAGCTTCAGGATCGCGTGAGGTGTATTGCGAACGTGATGAACACGTGTCGCTAGTGATTAAAAATAGTCCAAAATCGATATTTATCCCATTTTCACCATTTCCAAGTTTGAGCTCGGCCTAAAGGCGATTTTGAAGAGGTTTTTCATCCCAATTTCATAGGTTAGTAGATTTTAACTTGTTTCCTTACATTTCCATAAACACTCATTGATTTTAACCTTTAATTTATGATTTTTCATGGTAGAATTTAGGGATTTTGAGAAATTGAGGTTTAGACCTCGAATTGAGATCAAATTTTGAAACTAATCACATAATCTGGCTCGGGGGTGAATGGGTAATCGGGTTTTCATTCGAATCTCGAATTTTGACCAAGCCGGCATAGGGTTGACTTTTGTTGACTTTTTTCCCAAAATCATTAGAGATTGGGTCTTTTTCACTTGTGGGTAGTTTCTAAAGCTTATTTGGATTATTTGAACTATATTTGGTTAGTTTAACTGGTTTGGAGCATAATTCTAGAGGAAATGCCGCAGTTGAGCATTGATTTGGTTGCGGAGTGAGGTAAGCGTCGTGGTTAACCTTGACTTGAGGGATTAGGACTTGTTAGTCTATTTTATAGGTGTTTTATCTGTGGGGACAAGGTATATGCGAGGTGACGAGTACCTATGAGTTGTCATTGGGTTAAAGCATGCGGGTGAAAATTGTTTCTTTGTATTATATTATTTCGTTAATTATGTTATCCATGCTTTGGTTAGATTGGATAGTGGAATATAGGGACGTTTACGCGTGAAGGGCTAGAATAGAGTGGGTATTTTGGTGGATAGGGAGCACAAAGAGTCAATGGTAGAGGTTGGGCTGGTGAATGACAAATTGATGGCGTTTAACGGGAGGGAGCAATCCAAATGTCATTAGCGCTTACGCACTGCAAGTGGGCTTGGACGAGGAGGTTAAGAGGCGCTTTTGGGTGGGGTTGGATGAGGAAGTGCAGGGTACTCCGCCTACGGAGAAGTTATTTATGGGAGGTGATTTTAATGGTCATATTGGGTCGTCTGCTGGGGGCTATGGCGAGGTGCACGGCGGCTTCGGCTAAGGGGACAGGAACAATAGAGGTACTTCACTATTGTATTTCGCTAGAGCTTTTGAATTGGTGATCGTAAACTCTTGTTTTCTAAAGAGGGAGGAGCACTTGATTACTTTCTAGAGTATGGTGGCCAAGACCCAGATTGATAATCTCCTCCTCTGGAGGTGTGATAGGGGGTTGTGCGAGGGGTGATCCCGAGTGAGAACCTCCCGACTCAACATAGGCTCCTAGTGATTGTGATGACCAAAAAGGGTCATCTTCTGTTTAAAATCTAATTCCGTGTTCTGAGTCCTTGAAAACCTCATTTTATCTCTCCTTGATTTGTGTGCGCAGTGCGAGCGTGTATTTGGAAAGCCCTTATGCGAAATATTTATGAAATGACAATTTTTGATTTAAAAAGATGATTTTTGTTGACTTGGGCCGACGTTTTGGATAAATGGACCCGGATCCATGTTCCGGCGATCCTGGAGGGTCCGTAGTAAATTATGGGACATGGGCGTTTTCCCGGAATCGAATTCTGAGGTCCCTAGCCGGAGAAATAAATTTTTAAAGAAAATTGATAAGACTGAAAATGCAATAATTTGAAAGATTTGATCTTGTTGGTATCGGGCCCGTATTTTGGTTCCGGAGCCCGGTACAGGTCCGTTATGATAGTTAAACCTTATATGTGAAATTTGGTGAAAAACGGAAGTGATTTGACGTGATTCGGACCTCTGGTTGAGAAAATAGAAAGTTTGAAACTATCTTGAAATTTCATATTTTTTGTTGTTGAATTCATGGTTCTAGGTGTTATTTTTGCAATTTGATTGAATGAGCAAGTTCATATGATGTTTTAAGACTTGTTTGCATGTTTGGTTTGGCGCCCTGAGGGCTCGGGTGAGTTTTGGATAGGCTACGGAGTGATTTGGACTTAAGGAATTTTTTTTGGTGTGCTTCAGGTCTGCAGACTTCACATTTGCGAAGTCTGGCTCGCAAATGCGAGCATAGCATTTGCAAAGATAATTCGCATTTGCGATCAGAAGGCTGGGAGGGGGCCTTCGCATTTGCGAAGCTCAGTGTCGCAATTTCGATGGGAACATGCCGCATTTGCGAACACTTGTTAGCATTTGCGATGCTAGTAGGCCAGGCCATTCTTCGCATTTGCGAAGTAAAGTCTGATTTTGGAGTTCGCATTTGCGAACCCGTGATCGCAAATGCGATACCTGCAACTGATCAAAACGATTTTGGATGGGATTTTTCGTTCATTCTCCCATTTTTCAAAACCTAAAATTCAAGAGGCGATTTTCCAAGGACTAGTTCTTCCCCAAATCATAGGTAAATGAATCTTAACTCATTTCTTTCAATCTTTTACTTCTTTTCACAAGATTTCATCCTAGAATCTAGGGTTATTCATGGTGGAATTGGGTGTTTTTGGGTAGAACTTAGGAATTTCAAAATTTGGAGATTTAGACCTCAAATCGAGGCCGGATTCCAAAACCAATTGTATATCTGCGCTCGGGGGTGAATGGGCAATCGGGTTTTGGTCCGAATTTCGAGTTTTGACTAAGCGGGTCCAGGGTCGATTTTTGACTTTTTGGGAAAAATGTTGGGAAATCTATAATTATGCATTGGAATTGGTTTCTTTAGCATTTATTGATGTTATTAAGTTAATTATGACTAGATACGAGTGGATTGGTGGTGTAATCGAGAGGTAAAGCGATAATTGAGCTTTGAAATACCCGTTTGCCTGTTCCTTTCCCCGTTCCTAATATATATTGCTTTCCTATCTTAATTGCTACTTGCTTATTGATGCTTCCATGTCTAATTGCTTCTTGTTAAGTGTTGTTTCTCTATTGACGTTATTAATTGTCCCGTAGTTTCATTATATCACACTGTTGGTTACGTTGGTTTATTGGTGCTTCATGGTGCACTTTGGTTGGTCTTGCTGTGTAGTATTAATCGATGAAGTTTAGTAATTGTAGTGATATTCCGTTGTTTTCATTTGAGGTATAAGTGTTGTGGAAGATTGAGTTAACTTGTGGGATCGGGTTGCACGCTACAACATGAGGAATAAGGGTGATATATTGAGGAGTAATAAGGGTGGACTGGTGGGATCGGGTTGCACGCTGCAACAAGGTGCAATAAGGGTGAATGTCGATTTTGTTATTGATTATATGGTGCGATCGGGATGCGCCCCGCATCAATTATTATTTATGTATTCTACTTCTGCTGAGATTCATTATTATGGTGTTAAAACTCGCTTAAGGATTGGTTATAACTGAGTATTCGTAGAAATACTGGCTTTCATATTTATTTAATCCGGGTTACTGTTATATTTCATTCTGTATTTCCTTTCTGTCTTAGTATAAACCGTTGCAAGATATATATATTGTTATGCCCCGCCGTATCCTCGTCACTACTTAATCGAGGTTGGGCTCGGCACTTACCAGTACATGGGGCTGGTTTACTGATACTGCACTCTGCACTTTTTATGCAAATTTCGGAGCTGGTAGTGGCTGATCGAGAGGTCGGTTGCTGATACTACATTCAGGAGACCAAGGTAGTCATACAGACATCCACATGCCCTAGTGTCCCCTCCAATGTTTACTCCATTTATATTTTACTTTCTTCGAGACAAATATATTTTTCTCTCAATCCCATGTTTGTAGTTATCCATAGAACGTTCGTGAGTTGTGACACCTGTTTCTGGGTGGTAACTATTTCAGATTAGTTAACAGTATAAGGCTAGTTAGTTAAATATGTACTTCCGCTTTTATTTCTGCTAGATCAGCTTTTGTTAATCTTAATTATGAAAAATATAAAGGAAAAAGGTGATTATATTTCTAACGTTGGCTTGCCAAGCGAGTGCGATGTTAGGTGCCATCACGGCCCCGACGGTAGGAAATTCGGGTCGTGACAGTGATGGACATCGTTATCTTGATAAAGAGGAAGAAGATGTTTGTACAGGGTCAACTGAGGATCAAGTGAGGTGTTTTGACTAAGGATAATGCACAGGAGGTTGAGGGGCGGCGGATGGATACGGGTGCCTGGAGGAGTGGTGGGGATGATAGCGCTATGTAGACTGCGATGATGGACTGTATAAGGGAGGCGGCAAAAAAAGGTGTTAGGTGTCTCGAAGGGCTACTCTGGCCGGCACCAAGGCCACTGATGGTGGAATGACGTTGTCCAAGGTAAATGCAAGCAAAGAAGCGGCGTACCTTAAGTTAGTGGAGAGCACCAACGAGGAGAAGAGGAGAGCGAACAAAGTAAGATATAAGGAAGCTAGGAAGGCGGCGAAATTAGAGGTCACGGAAGCTAAGAATGTTGCGTTTGGTCAATTGTATGAGTAACTCGGGGGCAAAGGTAGGGACAATAAGTTATTTCGGCTGGCCAAAGCAAGAGACAGGAAGGCTCGTGACCTGGATTTGGTGAGGTGCATCAAAGATGAGGAAGGTAGAGCATCGATGGAAGAGTCCCAGATTAAGCATATATGGCAGACGTACTTCCATAAATTTTTAAATGAAGAGGGGGACGGTAACATCATGCTAGGGGAGTTGGGGCACTCCGAGAGTCACCGAGACTTTAAGTACTGTAGGCGTATTAAGGTTGAGGAGATCGTGGGAGCTATGCGTAAGATGAGTCGGGGAAAAGCGACAGGACCAGACGAGATTCTAGTAGAATTTTTGAGATATATGGGTAGAGCAGACTTGGAATGGCTGACTGGGCTGTCTAATATTATTTTCGCGACGAAGAGGATGCCAGATGAGTTGAGATGTAGTACGATGATTCCATTGTACTAGAACTAAGGTGAAATCCATAATTGTAACAACTATATGGGCATGAGGTTTCTAAGTCATACCATGAAAGTTTGGGAGAGGGTGGCGGAAGGGAGGGTAAGGAGGGCGGTGTTGTCACGGTCCAAAATCCAACTAGTCGTGATGGTACCTAACCATCCTGCTAGATAAGCCAAGTAGCAACAATTCAATTCAAATGAGATTAATTGAGGAAAAAGAAATGATGAAATAATTGAGCTTTTATACAAAATCTCAAAGAATGGTAGTACAAATCATGAGCTTCTAAGACTTAGAGTTAACAAAGCTAGTATGAAATAAATACATCATTTGGTCAAAATGTACATAAGCAGATTTATACATCTAAAGCTACCACGAACAAGAGGTAGTTATAATTGGAATGCAGGTACATCTCCAATGCCAGCTCCCACCATACGCATGAACATCCCCTCCAAAATCTGTATGCAATGTGTAGAAGTGTAGTATGAGTACAACCGACCCCATGTACTTAATAAGTAACAAACCTAACCTTAGGTTGAAATCAGTTATAATCTTGGACGAACGGTCATAGTCTAACACCAATAGCCAAGAATAACTTGTAACAACATAATAAAAGCAGTACAAGTAATAACTCAAGATATGATGTTGAGCTCGTTCACAGTTACTGAAAAATAGGTATGCCTTTCAGGTATAGCAGTAAAACCCAAATCTTTCACCGGGATCACCAAGATAGGAGTATATAAAAAAACTACGATTTTTCCCAAAAAAACATTCAACAACAGATAAGATCTTTAATTATCATATAGCATGAGGAAAGTACATCTCTATACCTACATGTCGTGCATGAGAATCATGCATGTCACAATATCATATAGCATGAGGAAATGTATCTCAATGCCTGCATGCCAAGCATGCACATCAAATCTAATTCATCACAATAAAAACTAATGTACTCACATTCTCAGAGTACTCAATCTCACTGCCTTACGTTGAATCACTTGGCACACTCAATCACTCGGCACTCGGTCACTCGACACTCGGTACATGTGCTCACTGCTGGTATGTCAGACTTCAGAGGGGCGGATCCTGCCCAAGTGCTAATATAAGCCAACATGGCCTGCTGCGGCGTGCAGCCGGATCCATCATGAATCAATAAAACATGTTTCGGCATGCAACCCGATCCTATCATGAATCATTAAAACCTGTTGCAGCGTGCAACACGATCCCATAAATATCTTTCACAATCCGGCCTTCAGGCCCCAACACAGTCATCAATCTCTCCATCCCTCGGGCTCACAACTCCCATGCCAATCAACCCAAATAATGATAGCATAATGTGAAAACAAATGGTAACAGAGACTGATATATTATATGCAAATGAATATGATTGAGTATGCAATTGCAATTTAAGCAAATAACTCAACAACAAGGATGACCTTAGTGGGTCCAAACAGAATAAGCATATAGCCTAAACATGATTTCTAACATAATTCACAGCTCATACAATCAAACAAGTAAGGGGAACATGGATGTAACAAGATATAACAGCAAAACAAGTCTGGTCGTAGTCTAATAGTTGACTAAAATCTTGATTTCCTCGCTGTACGCCCACACACTCGTCACCTAGCATGTGCATTACTTCAATACATCTTTCATAACACAGTTCCCAGAGTAAAATATCCTCAAATCCAAGTTTAGATATGTTACTTACCTCAAACAAGCCGAATCCAATATCGAGCAAGCCAAACAATAATCTCGAATCTAGCTAAAAGCAATTCAAGAACATCAAATAATTCCAAACGAAACAAACCTAATCGATTAAGGTGGAATCTTTAATCAAAAGCGAAAGTCAACTAAAATTCAAACCGCACCTCGGAACCCAACAAAACTCAAAAAAAATTCGACAACCCATTGAATAACGAGTCCAACCATAATAGTTTCACTCAAATCCGACTCCGAATCGATGTTCAAAACTCAAAGATTCACTTTATGAAATTTTAGACAAAACCCCCAAATTTCTCTTTCAATATCATCAATCAAATGCCAAAATCGAAGATGTATTCATGAAATATAATCAAAACCGAGTAGAAAACACTTACCCAAATCCATGTGGTGAAAATAGCCTCAATCTGAGCTCCATAGCTCAAAATAAGCTAAAGTGTCTGAAACCTTCGAAATAGTGTACTTTATACATTGTTCTAGGGTGCCCTTTGTGATCAAGGTCACAACATCGCGATCGCTATTAAAAACTTTTCCAAGACAATTTTTACTGTATGTGATCGTGGCCATTTTCCCGCGATCGCGATGAACAATCTTCCGTTAACCCTTCCAAAACTCTTTCCAGATAGCCTATAGCGTACAAGCCAATACCTTTTGTATATAACTCCAAACGACAAACAATTTGATTTTCCGAAAACTAGATACAAAAGGCTAGAACTTTCTTTTTTGGATCATCTCCAAATTATCAATAGATTGTAAGATATAAGCTTCCAAAGTTGGGTCAGTGACAATAATATTTTCCTCTACACGATCGCGAAATTTTCTCATAGTGAATGCGACCCGAAGTCTGCGATTGCGATGCACGCTCTTGTGGCCAAAAGCCAACAACCAAAAAATGGCCTACAAATGGTCCGAAACCACCCCGAAACTCACCCGAGCCCCTCGCCACACCGTCCAAACATACCAACAAGTCCCAAAACATAACACGGACCTATTCCAGGCCTCAAATCACACATAACAACATCAAATTCACGAATCCCCAATCAAGATCAATCTATTAAGTTCATATATCTTCATATACTTCAAGCCTAGTCAATCCGAAATGAACCCAAATTTTGCATACAACTTCAAAATGACATAACAAATGTATTCCAACTCCTGAAGAAACAATTCAAATCCGATACCATCAAAGTCAACTCTCGGTCAAACTTAAGAACATTCTAAACCTTCAAATTTCCAACTTTCTCCAATTAGTGCCGAAACCTTCTAGAAATATCTAAAATGACCATCCGAGCCTAACAGAACCATCAAAACTCTTATCCCGAGGTCAAATACTATAAAGTCAAACTTGGTCAACTCTTCCAACTTAATGATTCAAACATGAAATTCATTCTTCCAAACTATTTCGGAATTACCCAAAAAACGAAACTGATGATACGCACAAGTCATTATACATCATATAGAGCTATTCATGCCCTCAAACCAACGAGCGGAGCACAAATGCTCAAAATTACCGCCCGGGTCGTTACATTATCCCCCACTTAAACATACATTCGTCCTCGAACGTGCCCAGAGTCGTTCCAAAGCCATCAAACCGCCGTGTAACCTTACCATGCACATACCCGAGGTGATCCCACGCCACCCCATTCCATATAAGGCTGACATTAGAACATAACTGAAGAGCCTCACTTCGTTCTTAGCCCATAAACCTTGGTACCCAATTTCCCATATCCGGAATTTCTTACAAGACCCGAATCTCGTATCTACACACTGTATAAGTCTGAACAAGCTGTATAGCGCCATAACCATAATCCAACATGTCATCACATGAAATACCATATAACTCGCATACTCATAACAATAATTTCTGATCATAGTAGCTGCTCAAAAACAAACCCAGTACTGGTAATGAACTCCATATCAAATAAAACTTCATTTGAAACCTTCGTACACTGCCGATGATGAAAGAAACACACAAAAACTCATAAGCACTGATTAACTCAACAAGTCACGGAGCTCTCCCTCGTTTGACAAGAACCATAGCCAATTTCTAAGCCAACTTTCGATATTATTCTTCCAAACATACCGTAATAAAATATGATAGTATCCTTTCTAGGTCAATGACCTTATCTCATCAAACACAACTATTCTATTGACATGCCACACCAATACAACCTAAAGCCACAAACCCAACAATCTGTGTACCAGTAAGCAACAATTCAAGTGTTCTCAAATATGGAAAATGACTCAAATGAGAGAACCGTCCTGCAAGCTCAACAAGTACCACCATAACAAAATGCTAAGAACCCATCACACAGTAGAACCAAGACATACAAATCTATCACAAAGGATCATAACCCAACATAACCCTCACGCAATGCGTGACCCCATCGAAATATCGGTCCATATAAAATACCTCAAGACACAATGGTCAAAACCAACAACCGCACACAATTCGACATCAAGTACATAAAGGGCATGAACATAACCATGGAGAAACAAATGACACAATGTACCACAATCTGGAAAGACTATCAAGTCGCAATTGACCATTACACACCCTAATCACCATCTCGCTGTAATTTCATTAAAAGGCACAAACAGAACCGCACCAAATGTGCATATAACCAACGAATCACAACCCTCGTAGCATGGAAGAGTAACACATAGAACATATCAAAACATGAACAAGCTGAACTTTAACTGAATGACTCACCCCTCAACACTAGGAGTTCTGAGTGAACAAATCCGACCCGGTGTAGAATGCACATCCTCCTCGGGACTACTAATGGGCCACCAAATCAACTCGGGTCATCCCCCATATGGATAAATAGTCCTCCAAAATTCCTCAATGATCTAACCATAAAACCTACTACCATCTGGCTGACTTTGGCCACATCTTCACAGTCTATAACCACGAAAAAATTTGCTTATGAGAACTCCCAATCTCCAAATCCACAGAACACATGAATCACCATAGCTGATTCCAACTCCACCACTCGAATGACTAACACACTCTCATACACAATCATCCCCACAAGAAATATTTCTATAATTTTTCCCTGCCACATGGCAAAATCTGAACATGAGCAGTCGATCAACCAGGCGAGTACCGCAATACCAATGAAGCATCTATAAGTCAAACACAGTGCGCCTTCTGAAATACGCATCCTTTTCAAACAATACCAAGTAGTAGTAACATTCATCTAATCATCTGAAACCATCCATGTTGTCAACAATTCATGACTTTACCTCTAAATATGA